ACTAAGGGTCAGTATATACTAAGCAAATGGATCATTACAAGCTTGAAACAGAGTATGTTTGGCCTAGCAGTAGTACAAAATATTCTTTCTGCCCTAAAAAGCCCAGATTATTTAATAAACAAAACAAAACTATAGCAGAAATATGCCTTCTATAGATATAAGATTTGTATAAACTCCATCAGCCAAATTTGCTGTAACTGGAGATCAGTAGCACGTTACCAAGTGGCCTGAGGTTTAGTAGAAAGTGCACAAATATCTTGCTTGAGATTTGCTCAAAGTGCTGCTATCCTCATTGGAGGATAAAGGAGAGAATACAGCAAAGCATAGGAGACGTAGGTCCACTTTGCTGCTCTGCGTGAAAAGGTCAAATGTAATTGCACGTGTCAGGAACCAACAGAACAACTGAAACTCTTACTGCAACTCACCATTGCACTGAGATGCTAAAGGAAAAAAAAAAGAAAAAAAAAGGAAAAAGAGAACAGCTGTGGGCCTGAGCCCCAACATGGATGCCATAGGAGAAGAAGAAAGGGCTTTAGGGACAGCATGTTTTAAATATGCCCTTACATTGTACCCCCAGGGCCAGGAGAGAGATGACACCTTATGTACTGCAGGAATAAAGTCCCTCATAAAAACCCCTGTGTCTCCATCTGTAAGAGAAAGGAAATGAGGGGGGGCACCCTGCACTGAACTAGGGACATTTCATTGTATGGTGCCAGCTGCTAAGCTCGTACAAAAGCAGCCCCACAGCCTGCAGGAGCCCCGCTCAGGTCCCTCCCCAGCTACCCACAGCACTGCAGCCTACCCCGACCGGCTCTGGAGAGAGCTTGGACAGCCACCCAACAGTTTGCTTTGTGGAAGACAATAAACACATTTTTTAAAGAGCAAAAGCTGCCACTGACCTGGCCCTTGGTATTGTAGTCTGTTAGAGGAAGTGCAGGAGGACTGGAAATCCCTTCCTTCCTTACTGGCCTGGACCCTGGACACTGTGGGAGTCCCTGGCCCAAGCACGGGCAGCAGGACCTCTGCCTGCAGCCCTGCCTCGGAGTTGACACAATGGTGTTGGATGCGATAGCATTGGTTCAGTAACACCAGCAGTGCAAGAACTAATGGTGTTTTTTCAGTTCACATTACTGGGGACAAATAATGACATTATGAGAAGACAGTGGGATAGTCTGTGAACACTTCAACAGCATTTATGGCAACCTTAAAAAATGCAAGAAATTCAGTAATTAAATTGATAGCAGGATAAGAGAAGCTTTCCTGTACACTACACATCGTATTTCCCCAAAAGAAAGTATATTGTTGGCCAAAACCTGTGGCCATTCTCTAATGAAAATCCTCTGACTTCAGTGTATATTATGCTTTAGAATGGACTTTTAAGCCTTGGCTCTTACTTTGTAGCTGTTTAAGAATTATCGGGTTTTGTAAGTGGAGAATAAACAACATATACCATCCTGTAAGTCAAGCCATGGAATTCTTCCAAATAACTTATTAGCACAATGTCTCAATAAATCTCTCTGAAGGGAAGAACCTGTCATGGAATAACAAGTATAGCACAAGAAAAAGAAACAAGGCTGTAAAATGCAATAACAAAACGCCTTTAAACCACTGTACATTAATGAGTTAAGGGATACTGGGAAAAGACTGAGATCAGTCCAAGGAGACAGCTTCCTTTCAATTCTGCAAATAACATTTCCTGCAATACCTTGAAAGCAAGAACAACAGTAACCATACCACAGCATGGAAAAGCGGTAGATTTAAGAACATGGAGGAAGGAAGGGGAAAAAGGACACAAATCAGAGGTGCTCATTAGGAAAGAACTATATTCATTACTTGCCTGGGTGGGTTTTGTCTGTTTCTTTTTCCATCAGCCGGTTCGTGGAAAATGAACTAATACAATCCATCTCTAAAAGTCCTAGTCCCACCAAACCTGTAAGTATTCTCCAGCAGGAGCAGCTCTTGTGAGAGGAGACGGCTCAAATAGGGAACATGTCATCACAAGTTTCCTTTAAGGTATCTTCATATTGGCATTTTCTTTGAGACACTTGGTGTTCACTAACTTTTTATCTACTTTCTCAATCCCCTATCAATTCATTTACACTAAAACAAAAGACAAAATTAATCCATGCTTTGGTGACATAAACACGTTTGGCAGCAATGATTGACCACTGACTCCCACAAAGAGATCTACATCGTTCAAGTGTACTTATATGGAGCTTACCATGCTGTGAGACGACCAGAGCTTTCAATTACATGCCAAAGCATATGAGAGGGTCTCTATTTAGGGCTGCTGTTTTTAGATGTCAGAGGCTGCACCAAAACCCTGAAAAGACCTAGTTTAGTAAGCAGACTGCTTTTCCTGACCTTCCTTTCTGATTTCCCCACACCCAGACATTTCTGTTGTGGGGTTCATTGACAATCCGCAGCAGTGTTTCAGCTCTGCTTCACGACAAGCACTTTTTTTCCTGGGCTCTGGTGTTATACTGATTCTTTCCTTATAGCTCCACTTGCTGTATGCCTTACAAGTGGAAGATCAGACAAACATGGTTTACTTTTTAAACTAAAAATGTCTGATGTGTAAAATAATGCGCATCCTGACTTTGTCCTTCAGATGAGGTCCCACCAGCAAATGATGTCAGGGTGGATCTAGAACAAAATCTCTGCAACAGGTCCTGTCCCTTTGTCAGAAAGGAGCGGAATATTCCTGTACTCAGACATGTTGCTTGCATAACCTTGGGTCAAGAAAGAGAGAAAGCAACAAGCTTTTAAAATGATTAAACACAGCTGGAGTATTTAGAGATGGGGAGATGATAAGACCTGGATTTACAGACGCATCTAAATACTGGTGTGGCTATCTGAGGCTCTTATTGGGCCTTGATGTTTCATCCAGATCACGGCTGTAAAACAGAATTGATGTCCTTTCATTGCTGCAGTAACAATCCTAGAAATACTCAGATCCAGTTCAAACTAAACTTATTTTTTTTTCCTATTATTTATAAAGCGTAATCATCCTCAAGTCCAACAGTCATCCTAAAATACGGTGTTCAATGATGAATTTTCCAAGCTCTTATCAGGTGTTTTGTGTTGCCTTTGAACTGTTGAGATTCCAAAGTGTTCGATACCTTGTCTTCGTATCAACTATTATAATCCATGCACATTTTTTCATTTGCCCATAAATCCTAGACAGTCCTCACCTGAAGCTTATGGGTACTAATAACCAGCAAAAAGCCATATAGTATCAAAAGCACTTTATTAGCTAGCAACACAGATAGATGGTGCGAGGTTAAACACTGATGACTCTTTTACAACTGGGAGTACCATGGCAACGAGCGACTACATGAAGAGCCTGGTGCTGTGCAAAAGCAAAGCTGTGGCAAAGCTGGGACAAGAGCCCAGCTCTTCTTGCTGCTGTTCCAGTCTTAACTTTGGTCCATTCAAATGTTTTCTGAAGGGTCACTGCCTTCTTTTTGTTGTTTGTGGCATAAAAAGCCCTCAGTCCCCTAAGTCCTGTAGCTGCTTCTGTACAACTGAAGAGTCCTTCTTTTAGTCCGTCTTGCACACCCGTGCTGAGCTGGAGTCACGGATCCTGTTTGTAGTGTTTCTACAGAAAATGGCAACAAAGAGGACAGATACAGAGATACAGATGGAGGGGAAAAAATGGCTCCCAAATATAAAGAAACACTTGTTGACAGATCCTGTTCTCAGCAGGTCTTCATGGAAGAGCTCAGATTGAGAGTGAAACCACCATGCAAGGCATAGACAAAAGGCTCTGTGTTTTCATACACTTCATCTCCTTTTTTTTTTTGCTAGCTCAGGCCTTTAAAAGAGACTTAAAGAACAGCTAAACCGAGGGTAAAACTTTGTATCAAAGGCAAACAGTTAATGCAAAACGACAGTGAACTGGTTTAAAAATTGGCCATTGATAAAAAAGGAAATGATCTGTCAAGTGTGACTTTGAAGAAACATGGTTTTCCTTCTCCACTTTATTTCATTTTATGCCATAGAGTTTGAGTGGTCTAACAAATGAAAATGTTGGTATGAACCATGCCAAACTTGAATCAAAAACCCTAGGGCTCAGACACATGCTAAATCACTGCAGCTTGATACACGGCCATTTACTGGCTGAAACTGTGACAAATGCAGAATAATCTGGCCCTTTTTGTCAGAGAAGGCTGCACCCTGTATTTGCTGCAGACAACGAAGGTGAACATTGGCATTTCCCGCGGCTCAGCTGTTGTGCGGGACCCTGCTCATGGGCCTCACATGCTCCCGTGTTTCCTCTGATTCCCAAATCAAAACTTTTTCTAATGCCTCCAGACAACAATGATCTTGTGTAAAGAGAAATTGTTTTGGTTGATGCGACTAGGCAGCCTCAGACCAAAAGGAAGACAAGTACTTTAAGCATTTCATATCCAGGGAACACAGGGAAAATGTCTTTGCATCCTTCTTCACTAGACTAAGAGTCATGTCTGCTTATTTTGTTTCTATCTGTCTACATTACTGCAAGTAACTCTAACAATACTGGTAAAAGCTGCCCTTAACTGATAGGATCATTTTCTCTGAACTGCATGTTGGACAAACCCACTGTACAATATACAATCATCTTGTCTAAATGAACATATTATTTATTTTGTAGCTTTTTAAATCAGTTTTATTTACAACAGGTCCTAGAGTACAGCTCACACACAGTAGTTAAGCTCTGGCAGTACTGATGTCAAGTTGCTAACACATTTGCAAATTACATTTCTAAGTAAGTCATAGAAAATGAAAGAAAAACATGACTTTAAAATAACTGTTTTATCTTCAGGTATAAGGATCACAGAACAAATTTGCAGGTGGCTGTAAAACCCAGCCAAGGGCGCTCCCCAGGGAGCCCCGGCGCCGCCGGCACGCTGAGCACTGTGGTGCGGGGACACAAGCAGTGGCGAATGGTCTGACACACACACGGCTGCGCAGTTCAGTTACTCTCTGTGGCGGGGCTCAAGGCAGCTCCGCGCTTCTTAATGGCCCCACTCCTCTTCCCGTTCACTAACTCCCTCTTCTTCCTCTGGAAATGCCGAATCATTCTGACTCTTCAGATGCTTAATCCCTGAAAATACAGAAGTCATGGTTAAAGTTGTGTTAGCTCATGTTGGACATTTTTTTTCCTGGAGGAAGAAACAAACAAAAAACCAAGCTCATGGAATGGTTTTTTTAATGCCCATACTGACTCCCTTTTTCACAAACCTCTTAGTTCAAACAATAGTACAGTGTATTTCTGTATAATACAGAAATATTTTCTTCCTTGAATATTGGCTCTTAGGAAATTTATCATGTTTTGTTGGAAAAACTGCTGAAAGACACCTTGTAGAACAGAACAGTATTTGCTTCTCTTTTTTCCTTGGTGCTCTTTCATCAGATTAGAGTTGCCCATCTCAAATAAGTTAAAACTTTTCAATAATTCCCACAGTAGACATGGGATTTCACCTTGAACCTCTTTCTGAGATTGATCTGCTGAAGGTCATTGCTCACACGGACCCAGTGCCCTGTGGTCACAGCTTCCCATGTGCTCCAGAGATGTTGTCCAGCGTGTGTCCCCATAGTCTGTACACAACCTACAGAGCAAAGAGAGCATCGCACTCGACAGAGAGGGAACTACTGGAGCCAAAGCAGTGACAAAGCTGAATCATTTATCACAGGAAGAGTGTATTCTGTTGACCTTTAAATACCACATGGGGCTGGATGAAAAGGGTAAACACTTATCACAGGATATTTGCAAGTTTAGGTTTGAAGAAAGTTGTAAAGTTCCTGCTGCCAGCTGGTTTCAGCCAGCAAGTGAAGTAGGCTCTATGAAAATCAATCAAATTACGAAGTTATTTTCCCTGTCCCATGTTCAGTACAAGCAAACAGGCCTCAATGAATGGGCCTAATCCCATCTTCTCAGATCCACCTTGGTGTGATAGAAGAATTCAAGCTAAAAAAGGAAGCAAAATCAAGCTAATAAGATGACAGAGAAGAGAGACCAGAGAGCAAGGGTTGTTATTTTCAAAAAATCTAAACAGCAAATGCACAAGATTAGTTTCTGGGTTCCCTAGTTTTTAGCAAAAACAGTTGTAGTGGGAACATAACTGTTAGTCAAAAACATGTGATTTCAACAAAATGTAAGCCTGAATTAAGTTTTCTGATGTCATTACTGTCATAACAGGAAAACATTTTTGGTTTCATTACAGATCATACATAGTTCTACTCACTATTTCTAACTGTCAGAAAAAAACTTCCCTTATGCATCAGTTCCTCTGTTTGTTGAGGAGAAATTGCACCCCAGTTACTTCAGATAACCACAACTGGATAATCAAACACCCCACTGTCATAGCACTTGCAGAGGCACAATTTTCAAAAAGGGGCGCGCCCTCAAGGCATACAGGGCAAGATCCAGATTTACCTCAAATTGTGCAGAAGAGGAATTGCTGGTGTATGTCCAAGAGTCGTGGCCCCAGCGTCACTTAACCTGGAGGTTCCTACGTTTCACTGTTTATGTCCACACCACTCCAAAATATGGGATAGCTTTTTTCCAAATACACTACTTGAAAAAAATGTCAACGTAAGTTATTCTAGTTCAACAAAGCTACAAATAGCTGAAAACAGTATCTTACAATTGGTCTTACAACAGGAGTACAGCCTGCTCCACATCCAACAGGAGCCCATCACTGCTCTGTGCTGGGCTCTCAGCTCCTCTCTTTTTTTTTTTCCCACACAGTACTTGCTTCCCGGGGAAACTGTTTTTCAGACATAAAACAAGCAAATAAATTAATGCTCACAAGCCACAGCACTTGTAAGTGTGCCCTGCAATAATCAAACCATTTCCAATTAAGTAACTGTGATACATGAAGAAACACTTAGGGTGCTCAGCTACCACCAAGCTGGCCTCTTCAGCAATGCTCTTTAGTAAGACAAACACTTTAAATATGATTTCATCTAACTATAGGTTAATGGACATTCATTTCAAAATGATATAGTGTTTGTAGGGCAAATTTTTCTCCTGTTGTTTATCTCTGGACTTACAGAGCCACTTCTTTCACATTCACAGTACCCATCTAACAGCTACTCTTCAGTACTTCAAACAGGAATTTCTAAAAGCCAGAATGTATTGTTTTGTAGGGTGTTTTTCAAAGATGAAAAAGGGAAAGTTATGGACAGAAAAGAGGGCGTGCGATATACAGTTAGTATGGTGAAGCTTCATGTAATGGTAGGAGTGAAGACTTTTGGCTATGTGGTTTAATTGCAATATTCAATGTGAAAATTGCAGGAAATGGAAAGGAATGACATCAATGAGCGTTACCCATTGATTTTCACCTAGCAGGCAACTATCAATCTTATTTAATGATTTTTTTCAGAACCACTGTTTTACAGCGTGCCTTCATCTCTGCCCGTCATTTAATGCCACAGTGTCATTTGGAAGCAAAGATTCACAGGGTTTTCTGCACTGACCAATAAGTGCACAAGACCTGATATTATTCATAAGCCTCAAGATGTTCTGACAACATCAGGTTGTCAGAATTAACTGACCATATATATGGCATTATGAAATAAGACAGCTGCACAACGAAATAAGGTAGCAATCAACGTACAGGTAAGGAAATCCCTGTCAGTAGCATTTGAACGTACATGTCAGAAAAGGCTGCTGGCTTTCCTGAAAAGAGACATTTCATCCACAAAGCGTCAGACCTTTACAGTGCAAGAAAAAAAGTCTGGGGTCATAAAAATGCTTAGTTAAATGACAGCAATCATGCTCTTAGATTAAAAGCGTATCTAGCCACATGACACGGCAGTAACCCGCAGTGGCTGCCAAGGGTGGTCAGAAGGCGTTGGAGCTGGGCATGCCTAGGAGCACACTGGCACATCCATCCACATTCAACCTGCTCAGCTAGAGCAATTCAAGAGAAGAGGCCATTACAGCAGCTCTCCAGTGTCACTGCAGCAGGGTTATTCAAGCTGTGTACCCTGCCCTTTGTCAATATGAAGCGAGTGATAAACAGGTAGCGAGGTGGAGCTCTATCCACAGATATTTTTTTCTAAGCAAGTTGGATCTATTCATACCCAGTATCTTTGTTTAGCAATATCTAAATTGTTTGCTGAAAGGTTATATTCTGGCTAGAGATGGAGTTATTACTCAGTTCACCCCAACAATTTTTACAGGTGCTACTATGATAACATTAATTTATTAGAAAGGATATTTCCTTCTCATCTTTTCAATCTTCATACACCAGTAACACAGTTCAGCTTTCGAAATAATAATCAAGAGGCACCAGAACACTGTTGTTTGGGGGTTGTTTCTATCCATCGATAAAGCACTGTAGTAAAGATGTGCAACAAATATAGACTCTAAGATTTTACTCATAGGAAAAAAAACCAAACAAAGCCAGGGTATTTTGGGAGGGATACATGGGGGATATTTTAGAAGATATTGTTTGTACGTACAGCAGATCCAAGTTCAAAACATCAATTTACCAGTTCCACATAAAGTACACAAGCTTCATAATGTTAGTTGCAAATAGGGAGGCCTGCAAATGCTGCTCCACAGAGCTACCCTGTCTCAGCAATGTCCCGTATTCCAGGCAGTGGATAACACTGAATTTCTGGGCACCTTCTCTGTCCTGAAGCACTGTGCCTGTACTGTCCTGATGCCCTTTCATTTTCTCTCATTGCTCTGCCCCCCAGCCCGGGTTGCCCTGCCCTGTCCTGATCTCCCCTTGCGTGCAGAGATGGCTCATGGTGTCCAAGCCATCCCACTGTCCCCGCAGGTCCCCAGTCCCCGCTGGCCCTTCTGCCTGGGGATGGAGCTCTGTGCCTGACCCGACTGCTGCTCTGCAATGTCACACCCTGGCTGGGGCCTTGCTCTTCACCCAAGATGTCTGACAGCAAAAACTCCTTCCAGCCTGAAGGCTGCCCCTCCTCACCACTCCCTAATAGCGATTTCATAGCCACAGGTTGTTCAAACTCTGTATTCTGCCTTAAAACAAAGCCTGTCTGAACACTGCTTCTTGGTTTCTTTTTCCCTCCCCCCGCCCCCGCTCCTTTTTATGCTTCTAAATTCAGCTGGACAAGAATTGTTTTTCCTCAAAGGGCTCATATTTCACTGCAGGTAATTCAATCCAATTAATGCTGATGAAGAAACCCTTAATGCCAAGTCATATTCAGCAGCCATGCACTAATACACTTTGAACTGGTAATTCTTTTTAGATGAAGTCACTGCCTCAAAGCATATTTCTAGATTACTCATAAATTATGAGCAAAAATGGGACAACTTTCTGGCATTTTTGCAATCACATAATAACATCTATGCTGTTTATTCAACAGCTGCCTTTTTGCTTCTCTCCATCTGACCAAAGCACCAGATTAGAAGGCTAAGCAGTGTCACAAGATATGAAATAACTGAGTGTTCCTGAATTAAATATCTCCTGGAAAAAAAAAAATTATTTGAGTAATTAAGACAGCTCCCCATCTCAAGTAATAAAGGCAGTTCCCCATCCTATTTAACACTTCTTTCTTCACACCGCTTCACTGCCCAAGGAACAGTGTTGACATTTACCAAACTCGGGATTGAATTCTGATTGGCAATTTGAATTCCCTAAAGTTTGAAGGGTTATTTAGTTTTATGATTTGGAGCTGATCCTCTCTCTATCAAAAACACATTTCCAGATTTTCAGAAAGCAGCGAAAGGCGAAGCTGAGCCACAGACAAAGCAGCCTGATTTTCAGTTTCAGAACTCTTGAAATTATCAAGGAAACAAACCTGGCCAAAGAGGATAACAGCCAAATAAAAATGTCTACTTTATGCCAATCCTAAATGAAATATGTTCTGGTTCCCCCAGCAAAAATGAGAATATCAAAACAAAGATCATTTATTCATGCCACTAAACAGGAAAAAGAACTTTTCTTTTTTATGGAATGTTTTGTTTTAAATTTATCAGTCAAATATGTTTTGACTTCTCTGAAACTCCTTCCTTATCTTTATTTGTTTTCCAACTGAAATGAATTTTTGAATAAAAAAAAACAGCAGAAAAAACCCAAAGCTAATGTCATGAAAAACAGCATCCACCACAGGTCTCTG